TTAAAATTGGACAATGGAAGCTGATCACTCTATGAGACATCATGAATCAGGCAAAAAAGATCAAAAACTGAGAAGTAAATGAAAAAATATCTCATTGGAACAAACAACCAACCTGGAAAAGAGATCCAGAAGAGACAATTTAAAAATTATTTGTCTACCTGAAATCCATGATCAAAAACAGAGCCTGGACAGCATCTTTCTTTTTTTTAATTTTTATTATTTTATTTTGATTTATCAACAATCACTTCCATAAGTTTTTGAGTTTACATTTTTCTCCCCTTCTCTCCCCCTCCTTCCCCAAGACAGCACACAATCTGATATAGGCTATACATATACATTCCTATAAAAAATATTTTCACATCAGTGATGTTGTAAGGAAGAATTAGAACCAATAGGAGGAACCACCAGAAAGAGGAAACAAAACAAAATAGAAGAAAAATAGCAAATAGTATGCTTCAATCTGCATTCAAACTCCATAGTTCTTTCTTTGAATCTGGATAACATTTTCCATCATGAGACCTTTGGAGATTTCTTAGATTCTTGCATTGCTGAGAAGGGCTAAGTCTATCAAGGTTAGTCCTTGCACAACATGGCTGTTACTGTGTACAACATTCTGCTTACTTCACTCAGCATCAGTCCATACAAGTCTTTCCAGGTTTTTCTGAAGTCCACCTGCTCTTCATTTCTTATAGCACAATAGTATTCCATTACATTCATATGCCACAACTTGTTCAGTCATTCCCCAATTGATAGGCATTCCCTTAATTTCCAATTCTTTGCCACCACAAATGTTGTTCCTTTTCCCATTTTTTATGATCTCTTTGTGATACAGTCCTAGAATTGCTACTGCTGGTCAAATTGTGCACACATTTTTATAGCCCTTTGGGCATAGTTCCAAATTGCTCTCCAAAATGGTTGGATCTTTTCCCGACTCCACCAACAATGCATTAGATTTCCAACTTTTCCACATCTTCTCCAACATTTATTTTCCTGTTTTGTCACATTGGCCAATCTGATAGGTGTGATGTGGCATCTCAGAGTTGCTTTGATTTGCATTTCTCTAATCCATAGTGATTTAAAGCATTTTTTCATGTTACTATAGATAACTTTAATTTCCTCATCTGAGAACTACCTGTTCATATCCTTTGACCATTTATCAATTGGGGAATGACTTGTATTCTTATAAATTTGACTTAGTTCTCCATATATTTTAAAAATGAAGCCCTTATCAGAGACAATGATTGTAAAAATTATTTCCCAGTTTTTTACTTCCCTCCTAATCTTGGTTGCATTGGCTTTATTTGTGCAAAACCTTTTCAATTTAATGTAATCAAAGTTATCCATTTTGCATTTCATAATGTTCTCTATCTTCTGTTTGATCATGAATTCTTCTGTTCTGCATAAATCTAATAGGTAAACTGTTCCTTGCTCTCCCAGTTTGCTTACAGTATCAGCCTTTATATCTAAATCACGAACCCATTCTGACTTTATTTTGGTACATGGTGTGAAATTTTTGTCTATGCCTAGTTTCTACCATACTCTTTTCCATTTTTTTCCAGCAGTTTTTGTCAAATAGTGAGTCCTTATTCCAGAAACTGAGGTCTTTGGGTTTATCAAATAGTAGATTACTACAGTCATTGACTACTGTGTCTTACATACCTAACCAATTCCACTGATCCATCACTCTATTTCCTAGCCAGTACCAAGTAGTTTTGATGATTGCTGCTTTGCAATATAATTTAAGATCTGGAATGACTAGGCCACCTTCCCATGCATTTTTTCCCATTAGTTCCCTTGATATTCTGGACCTTTTCTTACTCCAAATGAATCTTGTTAGTATTTTTTCTAGCTTTCAAAAATAATTTTTGGTAGTTTGATTGATATGGCACTGAACAAGTAAATTAGCTTAGGTAGAATTCCCATTTTTATTATATTAGCTCTGCCTACTCATGACAACTGATGTTTTTAATTTAATTTACTTATTCAGTGCCATGCCAATAAAACTACCAAAAGATTGTTTTATAGAGCTAGAAAAAAATAGTCCCAACATTCATCTGGAAGAACCCAACATCCAGAATATCAAGGGAATTAATAAAAAGAAATGCAAGGGAAGGTGGCCTAGCTGTACCAGATCTTAAACTGTGTTTATAAAGCAGCAATCATCAAAACTACTTGGTACTGGCTAAAAAAAAAGAGTGGTGGATCAGTGGAATTGCTTAAGACACAGTAGTCAATGAATACAGTAACCTACTGTTTGATAAACCTAAAGACTCCAGCTTCTGAGATAAGAACTCACTAGTTGACAAAAACTACCAGGAAAACTGGAAAATAATATGGCAGAAAATAGGCAGAGATCATGATCTTTTGCCATATATAAAGAGAAGGTCAAAATGGGTACCTGATTTTGATATAAAGGGTGAGACTATAACAAATTAGGAGAGCAAAGAATAGTTTACCTGTCAGATGTATGGAGAAGGGAAGAATTTATGACTAAACAAGAAATAGAGAACATTATGAAATGCAAAATGGATAATTTTGATTACATTAAATTAAAAAGGCTTAGCACAAGCAAAGCCAATGCAGCCAAGATTAGAAGGGGAGTAGAAAGCTGAAGGAAATTTTTTTTACAGCCAATATCTCTGATAAAGGCCTCATTTCTAAAATATATAGAAAACTGAGTCAAATTGATAATACAAGCCATTCTCCAATTGATAAATTGTCAAAAAATATGAACAGGTGGTTTTCAGTTGAAGAAATCAAAGGTATCTATAACCATATAAAAATACTCTAAATCATAATTGATTAGAGAAATGCAAATCAAAACAACTCTGAGGTACCACCTCACACCTATCAGATTGGCCAACATGACAAAATAGGAAATGATAAATGTTGGAGAAGATGTGGGAAAATTGGAACACTAATGCATTGTTGTTGGAGTTCTGAATGATCCAACCATTCTAGAGAGCAATGTGAAACTGCCCCCAAAAGGTTATCAAATTGTGCATACCATTTGATCCAGCAATACCACGTATAGGTCTGTAACCCAAAGAGATCATAAAAAGGGAAAAGGAACCACATGTACACATATATTTATAGCAGCTCTTTTTGTGATAGCAAAGAATTAGAAATTGAGAGGATGCTCCTCAGTTGGGGAATGGTTGAACAAATTGTGATATATGAATGTAATGAAATACTATTGTTCCATAAGAAATGATGAGCAGGGAGATTTGAGAAAAACCTGGAAAGACTTACATGAACTGATGCTGAGTGAAGTGAACAGAACCAGGAGAATATTGTACACAGTAACAGCAACACGGTGTTATGATCAGTTTTGATATACTTAACTCTTCTGGGTAATGCAGTGATCTCAGACAATTCCAAGAAAAACTCATGATGGAAAATGCTATCCACATCCAAAGAAAAAACTAAGGAGTCTTAATACAGTTTGAAGCATACCATTTTCTTTTTTGTTTATTTGTTTGTTTGTTTTTCCTTTCTTGTAGTTTTTCCCTTTCTTCCTGATTCTTCTTTCACAATATGAGTAATGTGGAAATATGTTTACTATGACTGCACATGTGCAGCCTATTTCATGTTGCATGCTGTCTTGAGGAAGGGTGGAGCAGTGTGAGGGGGAAATTTTAGAACTCAAAATCTTGTAAAAGTGAATATTGAAAACTATAAACAAATGAATTAATAAAAAAAAATGGTGAGCATTAAAGTAGAGGGTGATCAGACCGTCTAATGACATACAGCTAAGGTATTGCCTTCATGTCTATGAGTTATCATTACATTTCTACCCATGGTTATATAGAGAGATATTTTCAACAGTAATATGAATAATAAAAAGGAATCTAGTTGTGTTTTTATAAAGATGGAACACTAACTTCTATAGCCTTTTACACAGAGAGTGAGGCTACTGTTAATGTATTTTAAAAAGATATAGAATCATAAAGTCAGTTTATCTACCATACTGGAAAAAAAAATCTGCCAAGGTGACAGAGTCTGTGCAAGACATATAAAAGACTAAGATAACTTTTCTGGGAGACTAAATTAACTGTCATGAGAAAGCATTTTGAGTGAACTGAGTCTACCTCACCCTGTGAAGATAACCTGAGGACAATTTTTGAGAGACTTTGATATCTGGAGAAAGTTGACTGATGGGAGTATTTGTTTCCATAATTGTGAAAAAATCAATAGCTGCCATTAATGGCTAGAGGCAATTTTATCTAGAATCTTTATCATCACAGATGATGTTATTGAAATATTTCATTGTATAATTTGTTACACTCTTGATAATATGTATGCTAAACTAATTCATATGTGCCTAATCCCATGATTCCAGGGATTTATGAAAGACTTTAAAAGCTTATAGGAAAAGAAATGTCACCAGTTCATTTATAAACTGGGATGAAAGTGCAGAGTTAATTGATTAGTGAGAAACTGTACCACTAATAATTTGTGAGGAAATATCATAACATACCATCATTTCTTTAGAATTCAGAATGAGAATTAATGAGGTAATTATGGTCTGGTAGATAAGTCATGCAGTTTCGTCATTGGCTTGCTTGTCAATCAGCATAGGATATTTTATACCCTAAACAGCACTACCTATACTAGGGATGAATAGGTTTTTTTCTACAATTGTAGCTGTTACAAAATGGAATGAGATGTCTTTTGAGGGGATAGATTGCCATATGCTAGATGTTTTAGTGCAATGACTGGCAAAATTGTTGTAAAAGGAGTTCCTTTCCAGATGCATTTATGACTACTAGGTGGTATTTGAGGTCCTTTCCAACTCCAAGACTCTGTGAAAGAAATGGCAATTATGAATTTCACATGCAGACTGACAAATATTGTCAATTAACAATACAATATTTAAGGAACATATAATCACAGAATTTATGAGTTTGAAGGACTTTATCATCCATCTTGTTCAACTCATGCTCAAGATACACCTCCACTACACTGTATCTAAAATGTACCCACCCATTCAGCATTACCTGCCAAGAATGAGGTACTAAATAGTCTTCATCTCCTGTTGATATTTTTTCTGATTTTCTTACAAATATTTCACGGAGAGCCCAAACCACGGCATAAACAGTATCGTAGATGGTGTAACTCAAGCCAGACACATTCATATCAAAAGAGCACAGAGGCAAAGTCTCCAAGGAAGCATTTGGTGAACATATCTCTTGCTCTAGGTTTTCAGGTTGTTCTGGGCATCTAAAAGCTGAGAGCCAGAATCCTCTAAGTAAAATGTTATCTGTATATTTAGAAGGTGTAACACTCCTAAGAAAATTCTTGAACCCAGGAATTTCACTTGTCAAATATGAAAATATGAGAGCCCCATGGAAAGCATAACCTTCAATAAAGAGGTGTCTCATGGTAATGTCCCAGTGAGATGTGGCAATCCATACCTTATGTATTGTGAAAAAAGGAACTTGTGAGTATCTCAGAAATGTTAATGAATCTGTGTCACCATGGATGACTATCACCTTGGCTGATGATGTTAAGATCCTGGGCATGAAAGTCTCACGGGATTCCATGTGTCTTCTCTCACTGACAGGGATCTTCTCTGTGAAAGACATGCAAACACCATTCTTTACCATTTCCTTTCTTATTTCCCAGAGGAATTCCTCACCTCTCATGTCATCTGAAACAACCGATCCTATCCAGTTCCATTCAAAATACACCATTAAGCAGACAACACCTTGGTGAAGAGAAGAGTCTTTCAGGGCCATTTGATAGAGGGAAGGAAACTTCACTTTGTCACTAAGAATGGTATCAAATGGGCCATAGCTGACGAAACATAGCTGAGTTTGAGTCATAGTAATGGTGAGGGATAGGCAGTTAGGTGGCACAATGTATATAGTACAAAATCTGGAGTTGGAAAGATTCTTAGTCCTGAGTTCAAATATGGCCTTACCCACTTCCTAGCTATATGACCCTTCACAAGTCAACTTAACCCTGTTTGCTTAGGTTTTCTTATCTGTAAATTAAGTTTGAAAAGGAAATGGCAAATCACTCCAGTATCTTTGCCAGGAAAACCCCAAATGGGATAAGAAAGACTCAGGAATACTGAAAACAACTAAACAAAAATGGTGAGAGAATTGAAGCAAATGGCAAATTCTTACCAGGTCATTTTTGTTGATAAGCAAAATTATGTAGATTTTAATGCACAGATCATTAGAGGTAGTATTTTCATCTCTGAAAATCTATTTCTCCCTCTCTCTGAGCCTTCAAAAAAGACAATGATTTAGTGAAGACAGAGTTCTAGGATTTTGTCATTATCTCTATTATAGCCAATGTGTCTTCACTGTGCTTTCCAAAGGAGCTAGGCTATGTTCTTACTTCTCTGTTTGCTTGTTGACCCATAGCAGATTTCCAGACTAATCCTGTTATATATTATTGAGAGTGGGGTAATGGTTTTCTTCTTAGAATCAAATGCATTAATAATACTGTGTGTATTTTTGGCTTTGAACAAAATATAATTTGTCTCTACATACTTTTACTTGGTTTAGACATTTTTCAAACAAGAAAATCTAATTGTTTTCTCATTGAAACTGGAATAGGCATTTCTGGTTGTTTGAAAACAGGACTCTGAGAGTGGAAAAGGACCTTAGTGGAATATAAAACACTATATATAGTTTGAAAAGGAATTCCAACTATAATTTAGCTAAATAGTAGGCATCCAATCTTTGATTGCAGACTTCCAATGAATATGACTTTAATACTTGTAAAGATGGCCAATTTTACTTCATGTATAATTGATATGGTTAGAATTATTAGTAAACAAAGGTCTTTCTTTTATCTAACTTAAATTTTGGTTTTTGGTAACTTCTGACTATCATTGCTCTTTTCTACCTTCCCAGACCACACAGAACAAATATAGCCTCTCCTCAACATGAAAGACTTCCAAAGACTAACAAAAAAAGCCATTGTTGTTCCTTTCAGCATTTGTCACTCTGGTCTATAGAGCCTTCTCCAGCTCATTCAACCAATCCTTACATAATACAGACTGAAGACCCTTCATCATCCAAGTTGTCCCTCTGGACACTTTTTAGTTTATCAATGGCTTTCTTGAAGCGTGGATCCTCATACCAAAAACAATACTTCTGATGAGTTTTAAAGGCAGAGTACTGAGCTAAATCATCTTATGCCTGGAAGCTACACTTTCTCAATGCTGCTCAAGATTGCATTAACTTTTATGGCTTCCAAATCACCAACCTGACTCATATTGAATAGAAAAAAAAGAATGAACATATAGATAAAAATATTCATTAAGCACTTACCCTGTTCCAGGCATTGCACAAAGTGTGGAAATACTACTACAAATACCAATATAGTCCTTCCTTCTAATAGTTTATGTTTATATTGGAGAAGACAGCATATATAATGAAGTATTGCTCTGAAATGAATTTCTAGGACAGGCATGGGGAACTTGTGGCCTCAAGGCCACATGTGGCCTTCTAGGTCCTTGGGTGTGGCTTTTTGATGGTGTCCAATTTTTACAGAACAAATCCTTTTATTAAGGGAATTTGTTCTGTGAAGTTTAGATTCAGTCAAAGGGCTGCACCCAAGGACCTAGAAGGCCACACATGGCCTTGATGTTGTAAGTTTCCCACTCCTGGTCTAGGAAGACATTAAGATGATGAATGGAGATGCAGAATCATTTATTGTCACATCCTTTACATGAATGGTCATGTAGATTTAATTACTATATTCTAAGGTAGAGTGGAAAACAAGAAGGAAGAGATGAATCCAAGATTTAATAGTGTCTGGAAGGTATATGTATGATCTGATTTGGGCTAGACATGGAGAAGTATCACTTCTGAGAAGCCCACAATTTGCAGTGTCTGGTTGGAGGTGGAGGCTACAAGAAAGAAGCATGGGATAAATATTCATGGAAAACAGTGTAGTTAGTCTGGATGACTGTGATGTTGAGTTTGTAATCCATTGAAATATGTTTTTTATAAGTACTGCTTCCTAATGCTGCCTGCCACTGTTCAGTACTGAAATAGTTGACCTTTTTATAAAAACAGAAATAAAAGACTTTATATCTATACCTATTGATTTTTTTTCCTTTTTAGGATCAGAACAACACCATAAACTGTCAGGTCCATTTGTACCTTGACTTTATCATGCAGTGTGTTAATGGTAAACCGAAATCTTTACCTCATTTGCATATTTGATGAGAATACCATCTCTACTTTCATTAGAAGCATGAATAAGAATGCTAAATAGCAGAGAGCCAAGAAGAGATCCCTCAGATTCTCCATTGGTCACTTACAGTGACATTAATTTTACACCATTAAAAACTACACATTAGGGCCAATAGTCCTTGACCAAGCAAGACCCCTACCCCAGGCACAAACCAGCTGCAAGGTATAGTGCTCCAAAGTCAGTGCAGTCCTTGAGAACAAGTGAATCAGCAGCATCAAGTTATGGAACTCTCAGTCCACAGATGCTAAAGGGGTTGGACAACTGATCAGAAAAAGATCGTAGGGGACAATTTGCTTATCCTAGATGCAGTACTGTTGCATTGTCCAAAGGGGGATCTGGGTCACAGACCCGGGTCACAATTCCCTGTTGTTGAGGAGCACTGACACACTAGAGCATGCAGCCATGGTGGAGTGGGGATCCTGGTCACAGGTTCAGGGCAAAGAAAGGTCTCTCATGAACCAGAACACAGGCCAGGAAAGAAGTGCTCACACCGATCCTTAGAACATTCCACCTTTGAAGAACCAAAACTTTACAGGTCAACAGAATTAGTTCTGAAAACAGCACCCCCCAAAAACCCCTCCCCACTAACAAACAAATAAAAAAAAATTTGATGCTTGGGACAGTGCCACTTCCACACCAGGAGCAGAGACAAAATTTAACACAAAATTAGGTCAATAAATAGGCTAGAAAAATAAGCAAAAACAAACAAAGAAAAAACCTGACCACAGAGAGCTACTGTGGTGACAGGGTGGATCAAAACCCAACCTTAGAAAAGTACAAAGTCAAAATGGCTAAATATGAAGCCTCAAAAGTTTATTCTTTAATGGCTCATTGAATCCAATGAGAGAGGAGGGATGCTGTTCTCCCTCTTTTTCCCCATCCCTTCCATATTTCTATCGCTCCTTTTTGTGCCTTTCCCCTACCCTCAAGCATTATACATAATAGGGATAAGCTAGAAGCTTTCTCAATAAGATCAAAAGTAAAGCCAAAAAAGTCCATTATGACCACTATTATTCAATATTTTCATATAAATGTTATATTTAGCAGTAAGAGAAGAAAACGGAATTGAAGGAATTAGAACAGGCAACAAGGACACAAAATTTCCCTCTTTGCAGATATGATGGTATTCTTAGACAATCCTAAAGAATTAACTAAAAATTATTTGAAATAATTAACAATTTTAGCAGAATATAAAAAATAAATATAAATATTATATACAGTAAATATATGATATAAAATAATAAATATAAAAATTAAAAATATAAAAATATATAAACTATATTCAAATTTTAAAAATACAAAATACAAAAAATACAAAAAATAAAATAAACCCACATAAATCATCAACATTTCCATATATTACCAATAAAGTCCAATGGTAAGAGATAGAAAAAAATCCCATTTAAAATAACTATAGACAGTATAATATAATTGGGAGTCTATTTGCCAAGACAAATCCAGAAACTATATGAATGCAATTACAAAATATTTTTCACACGAATAAAGTCAGATCCAAACAACTGGAAAAATAGTAATTACTCATGAGTAGGCTTAGACAATGCAACAAAAATGGTGATTCCATCTAAATCAATTTACTTATGGACAAGAATCATACATTTATAATGGAAAGAAGCAAATTGAATTGGCAGATGGCATAAGATCTTTGTGACTCTTAGAACGGTCTGCCCACTTTTCTGCCAGTTAGCTCATTGCAGACCAGGAAGGGACTACTCAGGAATGAGGGCCATTGGGTCTCTTTGTTTCATAGATGACCATGAAATCTGCTCCCCCAAACACCACTTCCTTCTATAAGGTTGGTCTAACGACTCTGGGCCTCTTCATACTAGCCAAACTGACTTTCAGAGCGCAGACTCAGCCTCGTCTTGGGGACATGCCTAGAAGATTTCCAGGCAGGTAGGATTTGCCAGAGTCGACATTCTGGTGAGAAAGTTTTAGGGAGCCTCAGTCCCCCACCTCTCCATATGATGATCCAGAAACCCAATATAAATTTGGGCAAGTCATTAGAACAGTCTGGTAACAGATCTCATCAGCCATTTTGGGGGAGGGAGAAAAGATGGGGAATGGAGTAACTGACACCATATATCATGTGCTTCTTACTGATACTAGCTCATGGATGGTCCATGCCTTTAACAAGGACTCTGAACTCAGGAGCAGGGGAAGATAGTATTGGGCCCCTGTCCTTTTTGAGATGGCCTGGCTCCTGTGCAAGAGGGCACATTTCTTCCCATGAAACCTTTCTTGGCTGTAAGATGGATAGAAAAGTGAGGAACAGCGCTAGTGGGGTAATATCAACAGGGCTAAGTCTGAGAGTGAGCAGAGGCTGGCAAGAACAAGGCAATGGGTAGGGACTATTTTCTTTCTTTTAAAAAAAATTCTTGCTAGATATTGTTTTTACACTATATTTTCTGATTATCCCATGCCATGAGAGCTCTCTTGTTAACAATATAAAGCAATTAAGCAACGTAACCTCACCAGACAATGCAGTCAACATCCTACCTCCTGGAACCTACCACTTTTCCATGCCAAGACATTAACAAGATTCTGTTTTATCTCCTTCCTAATCCATTGAAAAAGAAAAGCAAAACAAACAACAAAACAATTCGTCTACTCAAGGAAAACAATCCTGTTTCCTGCTGTCTCCTCACTGGCTCTATCCATACTTGTTTCTGTGAGTCTCATTCTAAGCCCATCCCCTCTCTGTCAGGGAGAGCATATACCACCCTCATTCTTTGGGATCCTGAATGACCATTGTATTGACCTTGGTTCTTAGAGCTTTCAGAATTTTTTGTATATTATATTATATTATATTCTTTGTTATTGTATAAATTATTTTCCTGGTTCTCCTCAAAAGCAAGGACCCCTGCCATGGCCAATGGGAGATGCCATGCTTCCCCTGGAGCTGTAAATGGCTCCTTCCCCAGAACCACACTTAGACTTTGCCTACAATGATCATTTCTCTGCTGATGACTCAACACAGATTCATGCTAGGTGACCTCCTCAAGTCCTGGAACAGGCCCTGGGTCTCAAAGGTTTTCTCACTGGAATGTGAATTCTGAGAGATCCTTTCTGACCAAAAACTCTTTGAGCAAGAGTCTGCATCCTGAGGACTAACCCAGTCAATCTGGGGAAACACCAATAGGACAACCTCCCATCTCTAGCTCACTTCTCTGGTCCCTATCATCTCACTGTCCTATGTTCTGTTTCCCTGTATATTTTTGGATTCATCTGGAATAAGGCCAATCAACCATAGGCCCCGGCCTTAATCTGTGACTGAGCCCTTCGTGGCCAAATTAGAAAAGGCAATGAAGAAACAAAGCTATCACTCTTTGCAGATGATATGAAGGCGTACTTAGAGAATCCTAAAGAATCAACTAAAAAAACTACTTGAAGTAATTAACTACCTTAGCAAAGTTGCAGGATACAAAATAAACCCAAATAAATCATTGGCATTTCCAAGTATTACTAACAGAACCCAGCAGTAAGAGATAGTAAAATTCCTTTTGAAGTAGCTGTAGACAACATAAAATATTTGGGAGTCTAAAAAAAAACTTTTCACACTAATGAAGTCAGATACAAATAATTGGAAAAAAATCAGTTCTTCATGGGAAGCCCAAGCTAATAGAATAAAAATGAAAATTCTACCTAAATTAATTTACTTATTCAGTGCCATACCAATCAAACTACCAAAAATTGTTTTATAGAGCTAGGAAAAATCATACCAAAATTCATCTGGAAGAACAAAAGGTCCAGAATATCAAGGGAAATAATGAACAGAAATTCAAGGGAAGGTGGCATAGCTGTACCAGATCTAAAACTGTAGTATAAAGCAGCAATCATCAAAACTACTTGGTGGAGTTCCGCTGCCAAGATGGCAGAGTGAGAAGTTAGTCGCACTTACCATCCCTTATCAACCTCTGGAAGCCCAGAAAATATCATCCCAGGAAAAATCCTGAAACAGTTGAACCAGAAGAAAGACAGGTTACAGTAGTCTGGTAGTCCAGGTACCTTGAGGGATTAATGGGAAAGGTGCCTTTTGCCCTGGGGGAAGGGGAGCAGTATAGAACAGGAGATGTCTCACCCAGAAAGCTAGCAGAAAGCCCCACTAAAGCATACCAAGGGGAGATCCTGAACCCCAGGTGGTGGAGCAGGCAAACACCAACACCAGGAACCCCAAGTGCCTCAATATGGGTAGGGGAACTAGTGGAAACTGGCTCACAAAACCACCACATGCCTCGGTGTTCCATACCAGCCAAATCTCACAGTGCCTCATGAAAACTCTGAGAAGTGATCCAAGGAGGAAAGCCCCAGGTGGAGAAACACCCTGCAGCAAAACATCCATCTGAAAAGAGCTTAAGAAGGGAAAGGAATGAAAGGCCCAGGTGAGTAGGCAACCTCTAGGGGCCACACTACCAAACCCAACCCCTAGAGTTCCAGTGTTGCTGATTGCAGCCCAACACCAGGTAAGCTGTCAGAACCCTACAGCCTCCAACTGCCAACAGTTGAGGTCCCAGCACACAAAGCCAGTGACCAGGCCCTGGGCATCCAACACAAGAAGCTTGGGTCAGTGTCCCCTGCTCCCCAGCAGGAGAGCTCAACCTTTTTAAAGGCCAGGAAATAAGCAAACACCATGAGCAAAAAGAAATGTACTATAGATTCTTATTACGGAAACTGTGAAGATCAAGGCAGAAATTCTGAAGAGGACAACATTGTCAACAAACCCACATCTGGAACCTCAAAAGGGAATACGAACTGGTCTGAGGCCCAAAAAGTGTTCTTGGAAGAGCTCAAGAAGGATTTTAAAAGTAAAATAAGAGAGGTAGAAGAAAAATTGTGAAAAGAAATGAGAAGTATGCAAGAGAGAGTCAATAGCTTTGGAAAAGGAAGGACAAAAATTAACTAAAGAAAACAACTCCTTAAAAAGCAGAATTGGCCAAACAGAAAAGACGACACAAAAACTCACTGAGGAGAAGAATTCCTTGAAAAATAAGATGGGCCAAATGGAAAAGGAGGTATGCAATCTAATGGAAGAAAACAACTTGTTAAAAATTAGAATTGGGCAAATGGAAGCTAATAGCTCTATGAGAGAGTGAGAATCAGTCAAACAGAAATGAAAGAATGAAAAAATATAGATGAAAATATAAAACACCTCATTAGTAAAACAACTGACCTGGAAAATCAATCCAGGAGAGACAATTTAAAAATTATTGGTCTACCTGAAAATCATGATGAAAAAAAGAGCCTGGACAGCATCTTTCAGGAAATCATCAAAGAAAACTGCCCTGAAGTCCTAGAACCAGAGGGTAAAATAGCCATAGAAAAAAGACATCCATCACCTCCTGAAAGAGATCCAAAATTACAAATGCCAAGAAATATAGTAGCCAAATTCCAAAATTACCAGGTCAAAGAGAAAATACTGCAAGCCAGAAAGAACCAATTTAAATATCATGGAACCACAATTAGGATTACACAGGACCTGGCAGCTTCTACATTAAAAGACTATAGGGCATGGAATACAATATTCTGTAAGGTAAAGGAGCTTGGATTACAACCAAGGATTAACTACCCAGCAAAAATAAGCATAATCTTTCAGGGGAGGAGATGGACATTCAACAAAATAGGGGACTTCCAAGTCTCCTGGTAAAAAGACTAGAGCTCAACAGAAAATTTGATCAAGACTCAAGAGAGACATAAAAAAGTAAACAGGACAGACAGAAACAACATGTTATTAATAAGGACAAACTGTCTAGATCCCTACAAGGGAAGATGACACTTGTAACTCTTGAGAACTGTACTGTTGTTACACCATTTTAAAGAGGTATATATAGCTGGGGTGGGTACAAGTTCACTTTGATGTAATGATAAAAAAAATCTAGTCAAGTGGGTTAAATGGATCTAAGAAAGTGGATTAATTTGATCTAATTAAGGAATTGTAGTGCGAGAAAAAGAAAGGAGGAGGCAGACAAGGGTAAATTATGGTTCTGGAAAAGGCACAAAAACCTATTACAGTAGAGGGAAAGAAGGGAGGAAGATGAGCATTGTTTGAACCTTACTTTCATCAGATTTGGCTCAAGGACGGACTAACATAATCAGCTAGGTATAGAAATCTAACGTGCCCTATAGGCAGTAGGAGAGAAAGGGGGAAAGAAAAGGGAGGGGGGATAGAAGGGAGGGAAGAAGCAGTAAGGGTAAAGGGGAAGAAAAGGGAAAGGGCTAATAGAAAGGAGGAGGGACTGAGGGAATCCCTTTATATACATAAAGGGGGTGGATATAAGTTGAGTCCCCCCCAGAAGGGATACACTTGGGACAAAAAGCACCAAAGAGTCTTTCCTTAGCCATTAACTGACTCCCTGTCCTAGCACTAAAACTGCTCCCTGTTTTCAATGCTGGCCTTTCAGAGGGACTTCTGTTAGGTTTCCCTGAATCTTGACTAAAATCTATGATCTGAGTACCAGGCCTGTGATTAGGCTGTTCAGCTAAACCATGTGACACTTGGGGATAGGAGTCTTGAAAAATAACTGAAACCTTAGAAGGGCAATCTCAGGGATGGTGTAGCTGATAGCCACTCCAAAAAGAAAAAAAAAATCTGAGTTGGAAACGGAACAAATAAAAGATCTTTTTTAGCGTCTCCTGACTGAAAAGGTATCTTACCTGAGAAGGAGCAGTGAAGTTAAGCCCATAAAGGAAAGCAGAGACTTCCACTGAGGCCTCAAACTAACAGCAGTGAGGAATCATGGTATTTCTTGTTTTAACTAGAACTTGTGAGGGATGTTCCTCAAAAGCCTATTAGCTGTGTTTGTTTATCTGTGATTCTGTGTGTGTCTGTGTGTGTCTGTGTGCCCATGTATGAGTGCAAGTAAAAAAAACCCATATACATGGAAATAAGAAGAAAAAATCTTCCTGGCAAATGCTTCTCTATATTTGTCTTTGTCTTGCAAATTAAGGGGAAAAATGGGAACCTTTCTGAGAAGTTTTCTAAGTCTTCAGAGTAAGAGATTTTGTCTGGCTCTAAGTTAGAAGACAAGAGACACAGATAAGAAAAGAAGGAGTCTAAAGTGGATTTATGGAATCATAAACCAGTTAGAGATTGATTAGAGACTAAAATCTAATTTTTCCACTTTGAATTTCCGAATTGTGTTTTGAGTGCTATTATAAATGTGAATCTATCTAAGTGAGTTTGGGGGTAACATTCTGTAGAGAGTTGTTATAAGGAAAAATAAGAAGGAAGAGATTAAAACAAAAAGATATGAGGCAAGCACTGGATGACTTTCTCTAGGTGTTTTCCTAGAGGCAGAACAGTGGTCCTCCTAGGACAATTTGAAAAGATATGAAGAAAAATCCCAAGACAAGGTTTGGTCCCTGCGAAGAGTAGACACCTCCAGGCTAGGGACTGCTTAAACAATGAACGGCAAGTCCTGGTGTTATCTGGAGTAGGAGGGTGCCTCCACACCAGCCAAAGGAATTTTTGCC